GGTCTGTGGCTATTTGTGTGAATGGGCGTGATCACCATTTGGAAGCATACTCCAGGTTATAACCCAAAGAAGAAGTTGCATTCTCCTACCACATTCAAATAAAGATTTTTTGACACTGATGAATGACTATTCATTTGTAATGGTTCAAAGACAGTAAAGAGCCTTTGATGAAGGTTCCTCAGTATGCATATGACGATGCTAGTTTCACCATATCCTGGCCTAAACTCATCATTATTTTCTTTCTAGTTGAACTTACAACTCAAGATATCTTGATCTCTCTTTTTACATTTCATTCATTATAGGTAGGCACTTCTTGTTAAAGATGCCAAAACTCCTCAGCAAACCCTTCATAAAACTTACCGATGATGAGAGCATTATGTACACCTAAAAGGAAGAAAAAAGTTAGAAAAACGTTACTCTGGCATGCAACATGAGTGAACCGGACCTCTCAGCCTGTGACAATTCATCCTGATTTTTCTTTAGGACTCAGTCTAATGTTTTTTCTAGTGCAAAAAGGCATTGTTTTCACTTACATCCTCTCATTTTACCCTTTGCACTGAGAGAAACCCTTTTTTTTTTTTTTTTGAGATGAAGTCTAGCTCGTCCATAAGCTGGAGTTCAGTGGCACGATCATAGCTCACTTCAACCTCTGCCTCCTGTGAACCAGTGATTCTTGTGCCTGAGCCTCCCGAGTAGCTGGGATTACAGGCACGTGCCACCACACCCAGCTAAGTTTTGTACTTTTAGTAGAGATGGGTTTTTATCATGTTGACCAGGATGGTCTCGATCGCCTGACTTCAAGTGATTCCTCCGCCTCAGCCTTCCAAAGTACTCATATTATAAGTGTGAGCCACCATGCCTGGCTGAAAAGACTTTTTAAAAATAACTATTTTGGTCATAAAAGCAATATAATTACAGAAGCAAAGAAAAAAATCACCCCAAACACTAGTACCCAAAAAATGTTTTGATACATTCTCTACTGGCACATTTTTTCATATGTGTGTTTTCACATATTTATATACTAGAAATAAAGTTACAACAATGGCAAAGTAATATAATCTAGTAGATGCATCATAGTGTATTCAATAACTTTTGTTGTGCATTTACATTATTTCTAGTTTTATTTTTCATAAAACCCTTAATAAAATGCATACAATATTTTTATATTTTACATTATTTCCTTAGATTGACTTTTAGGTGGGCTAACTGGCAGGAATAGTTGTATTATTCCACGTACATTGCATAATTGTTTTTCATAAGCGATTTTGCCAATTTACCATAGTACTTTCAACATACAACAAAATCAGTTTCATCACATCCTCACTTTTTATTGGTTGTTCACATAAAAACCTTTCTGTCATTGATTTAGTGGAAAATTAAAAACATAATACCTTGTGATTTTGCATTTCTTTAGTTCAGTGAGGTTAAACAGTTTCTATGTATTTATGTGCCAAGGCAGAAGGATATTTACACCATTTCTCTAAATCTTGTGTCCTGAGGTAGTTTCTGCATTTCCCTGCAGAAACGTTCAGGGCTATGTTGCGTTGAACTATGCAGAACTGAAGAAACTCCATTTACCTTAGAAATGTCATGGAGACATTTTGTGAACTAAGAAGGTCCAGAAGGCGGGGGTAATATTGAGAGACAGTCTGGGGGGAGCTGAGAGAAGCTAGGTTCTAGGAAAGCAGTTGCTTTAATGAATGGGATGCTGGGTAATGGAAATGGTTAAAGAGGATTTGGGGACATTTTAATGAGTGTCATATAGTGTAATTTTTCCTTAAGCCTCTCAAAGACATTCAAGTAAAAACTGCTTTTAGGTTTTACCTATTTTCTGGAGTTGAACTTATTTGTCTAGCATGCAACACCATGCTAATTAGTCTTGAGACAATGTACATGTGGGTTATACGTCTTAATTCTGGCTTTAAAGAGGACCTGGAGATTACCCCTTGCTCTGAGGAAGATGTTGAAATGAATCAGGCCTCTGCTATAAATGGCCCATTGAAATGAAGAGACAGGGCATCTGAGTATCCCAAGAAATTCTTCCTTCTATGATACTTGTACCCAGAGGTTCCTTTTTCTCTTTGGATTGCTATTTTGTTTCAAAACCCTCTATGGCATGTCACTCCAAGCCTGGACCACCTTCCCAGATTACTTCCTCATCTTTCATTTTAGGAAAGTTCAGGACTGGTATCTTAAGCAATCTATCCCAAGCTTTAGGGAAGAATACTGGGTTTTATTTCTTCTCTCTGTTTCTGTGGTCTCTAAGATCGTGAAATTTTCTTTGCCTTTTCTTACTACAATGCAGTAAGATGTCAAAGGCCAAGACTAGATAGGGTAGAGACTAGAAAAAAGAAGGCAAAAGGGACTGCTTTTAGTCTGAGTGTTAATTCAGAGAGACAAAAGGAGTTTCTCTGTGGTCCATCCCAATTCATGAGGAGTCTACACTAAAGTCTGAGTTCCAAGAACCTGCTGGTTAACAGTTATTTAGCCCATTCTGATTCTTTGTATGTATCTTCTTCATTCATCTGAAGAATTGCCTGTTATCCGGTGTTTGGGACCTTGGCCCGTTAGCTTTCCATTTCATTATGATAATATTTAAATATTCTCTCTTGTTGAATTATATATTGAGATCCTTTGTACATTTTTTTTTATTGTTGAAGTGCACAGTCTCTACAGATGAGTAGATTGCCTAGCTGAACCCAGGCTATCCCATTCTATGTTCTTGTGCAAGTTACCTAAACTCTCCGTGTCTCAGTTTCTACACCTATAAAATGTGATAACAAGAATACTACCCTCCCCGTAGGTTGTTGTGTAATTAAATTAGAAGCTATCTTTTATTTTTATTTTTTATTATTTTTTTTGAGACAGAGTCTTGCTCATCATCCAGGCTGGAGTGCAGTGTTGTGATCTCAGCTCACTGCAGCCTCGACCTCCCAGGCTCAGGGGATTCTCACACCCGAACTCCTGAGGAGCTGAGACTACAAGCATGCACTACAATGCCTGGCTAATTTTTTATAGTTTGTGGAGACAGAGCTTCAGTATACTGCCCAGGTTGCTCTTGAACTCCTGGGCTCAAGTGATCCTCTCACTTTGGCCTCCCAAAGTGTGGTGTTACAGATGTAAGCCACCACGTCCGGCTTATCTATCTTTTAACAGTGGTACTAAGTATTCATTATATGTTAACTTTCACAACTAGTACCACAACCACCACTATTGCTACCTATATGATAATACTACTAACACTTCGCTGTGTTTCCCATATATTTCTCATCTATCTCCTGGCTTAGTTATTTTTCAACATAAAGAAGCTCTGCCAAATTGGCCAACAGGTCAAAAAAGTCAACACAACGCTCACGTCTGTAATCCCAGCATTTTGGGAAGTCGAGGAGGGTGGATTACCTGAGGTCAGCAGTTAGAGACTATCCTGGCCAACATTGTGAAACCCTGTCTCTACTAAAGAATACAAAAATTTGCCAGGTATGGTGGTGAGCGCCTGTAATCCCAGCTACTCGGGAGGCTGAGGCAGGAGAATTGCTTGAACCCAGGAGTTGGAGGTTGCAGTGAGCCAAGATTGCACAATTGCACTCCAGCCTGGGCAACAGTGTGAGACTCTGTCTAAAAAAAAAAAAATTAAAATGTCAACACCTTTTATGATTTAATGGTGTTTGATCCTTCCTGGAGGATGGACCTGGTGTGGGCAGTCACAGCCACAATGCACGTATAGTAATCAGGTACTGTCGTTTAAAGCCAAACTAATATATCAAAGGAATGAGCTATGGAGGTTAAGAGTACGATCTTAAACTCTGATCTTCCAAGGCCTCCTGAGTTCCCGTTGTTAATGGTGAGGTGACGCACCAACCAAACATAGTCAGTGGCTTGAGAAAACACCTAGATACAACATAAAAAGTATAAATCCCTACATCTGAGTTTCTTAAATTACTTTATAGCGTTATCAGTTCTGAAGTAAACTACTTCATCATCGTATTCTTTTTGTGCAACACATCCATCTGTCCAGGATACAGACAACTCATAGTAGCAGAGGAGGAATCAAAGAGTATTTTCTTTAGCATTTGTTTTCAGTACTTCGAAAGTATCCTCTGCAAAATGTGGACCTCACCAATTCTCTTCACTGCCCACCCCCTTCCCTCCTTACCATCCCTCACTCCTCATCCCACACGAAGGGTCATCAGAATACCAACAATTGAGACACAGTGCGCCTACCTAGAACCCATTTTTCACTCACTTGGGATGTAGTTTTGTCTCTGACAGTCATAGCAAAACCATTTTCACAAGCAAAAATGACTGTCTCTATAGAAATATGAAAGTTGTCACCTAGATATTCTGAACCTATTTAGGATGTGTGGAAGCAGATACTGACCAGCAGGAGCAGAAAGTTCACAGCGAGGGGCGGGGCTGCTCCAAATCCCATTCCCTTGAGGGTCACTTGTGCAGCGGATGGTGCTCTCCCCAATGAGGTTGAAGGTCATCCCTCTGCCTGGGTGGGGGTCGCATGTGTAAGATACTTCTTTTCCATAGGGAATATCTCCAAGGGGAGTTTCTGTGTGACTCCCATTAAAGATAGCTGGAGGATTTGGACAAAATATTTCTAGAAAGAAAACAAGAGCTTTAAGTTCTATTAGAGTTTCAATTAAGTTGACCGAAATCATGGTGACCTGTGACTGTGCTATGAATAAATCTTTTACTTTTAGAAAAAAATATAACTAAGGTGGATGAAATTTAAATCTGTAAGGCTTTTGTTGAGAAGGAACTAACTGATGTGAGACCTAAATTACAACATCTATTGCAAAAGCCCAACGATGGTGTTTGTGTACCATCCAGGTAGCTATGTTCATAATGAATTTGGAAAGTAATTATTTTTAACAACACCCATTTAGTTGCCTACTTTACATCAGGCATTGTAAGATTCCTGGGTTGACAATGAGTTTCAAGACAGACAAAGTGTTGACCATCAGAAACCATAAGTTCCAAGGAAATCTATGAACTTTAATAAACATGCATGAACATCTTTAGCAATGTAAGTGTTTCTTGCTGATTCAAGATCATTATCATCAGTACCAATACCAAATATCCAATGATCTCATCAGGACACATTGATAAGGCTCTTTTTAGCTAGATTAAGTGGTGCCAAAGAGCCTCTTTTTTTCTTTCTTCCAAATTATTAGCCATCATTTTTTCTTCCTTCCAGTGTGGTTGAAAGAGTTCCTTCCCTAAAACCAATTGATGGCTCTAATTTGGTATGAATTCAGGAAAATATACCCAATTTTATCAGAATTGTGTGTATATAAAAGACGTGGTATATCAAACAATGTTTGACTTCTCATGTTTGAATATTATTTGTTTGTGTTTTTCCTAAGTTTACTTATAGATTTATTTTCAGTTCTATGTGTCTCTGTAAGGTTGAGCTTGTTGGATACTTCAGTTTCCTCAGGTATTGAAGTTTTTCACCATAGTACTCACCATAAGGTGTCCAAATAGATATCTGTAAGTTATTTTAATACAATACAAATTAAAATAAACATTTTTCAATCAGGAAAAAAAGGTTTAAAAAATTCTTGCCTTGTTTTAGTAGACAGAATAGGATAAATCAGTAATGCCTTGGTATATAAAACATGTACTTTTAATCTATCAGTTTCTGAACTTTGACATTTTATTTATGCACATGGTTTGGAAATGTAGAACACGTCATAATTTCAGACACTGATGCATTCTCCTAGCCCTTCCACCATACTAACTTATCATATAAGTCTGTTTTATGCTTTCTATAATATACCCCTATTTACCATTTTAAATATTATAATTTTAGAATTTTGTTTACTTGTTTCTTTTTTGGTTCATAGTCTGCTTCTCAACAAGAAAATATAGTTCAGGAAAGTAGGGAGGCATCTTCACTATTCATTCACTGTTCATTGCTTTTTCTACACATGGAAAGTCCTGGCAAATGGGAAGCCCTACGTCATTAAATACTGCAGGCTAAATAACAGGCTGACTAAAGTGTTTATGATGTATGAGAAAATAAAAGAACATCAAAATTTGGCTAGGCATGGTGGCTCACACTTGTAATTCTAGGACTTTGGGAGGCCACAGTGGGAGGATACCTTGACCCCGGGAGTTTGAGACCAGCCTGGACAATATGGCAAGACTCCACCGCTACAAAAAGTACAAAAAATAACCAGGTGTGGTGCCATGCACCTGTAGTCCCAACTATTGGGAGGCTGAGGTAGGAGGATTGCTTGAGTCCGGGAAGTTGAGGCTGCAGTGAGCTGTGATTGCACCACTGAACTCTGTCCTGGGTGACTCTTGTCTCAAAAAAGAAAAAACAAGAAAACAAAAATTTTAAGAAAGATTACTCCTTGGTAAGGAAACTAAAAAATAAATGACTGAATAAAACTTGCTGCACCTTATGTCATCTAGTTTCTTGCCACACATTTCCCATAAAATTAAACACTGTCATTAAACTAAGTGATTTACAGATTAGTAACAAAAACACGTGTCATAGAAGACCTACAAGACCTTTCTTGAAATTCTTCCAACAAAGAAGTATTTTTATCAGCAATTTAGTTAAGTAAAGATCCGTACAATAGGTGATTCCATGCAGAATAACACACTGGAAAACAAAAATAAGGAGAGCTATCCAAACTGCATAGTTGTTCTTCCTACTCACGTTCACACACTGGAGCACTGCTGTTCCAAAGGGCTTTCATTCCAGTCAAAACACAATGACTAGCAGACCTGCCTTTTAATCGGAACCTAAAAAAAAAAAAAAAAGCGGTAGCAAATGTGTGAGCAATTCCCATCTCTCCCTCGATTTCTTCACTCATAGATGCTCAGCTTCCTCACTACCATTTCCTCCTTGACTAGCATTTGGTTCTTAGGTTCGGGCCCAACTAAAAATCTCAGTTCATTAGGGATCTGAATTCTTCAGTAGCTGGCAGAAACTCAAAGGCCAATTTATTCTAAGGAATCATGATACCCTGTGACTGTCAAAGCAATTAGAGCTGATGTTGATAATTGCCATATAAACTTCGTAGCCCGGCATCACCTACAGAATGCATGAACCAGACTTCTCCATGTGCACAAGAGCCATAGCCTTCAGGTGTCATCTTTCACTGATGGCTCTCTGACATCCCACTTATTTTCATTAATGGGTCATGAAGCAAAACAGCTCTCAATTTGTTAAGCAAAGCAAGGAACATCTAGAAAGAGAATGGGCATTGTTCTTTTTGCATTGTAATTGTAACGGGCCAAAAGGAGGCTCATAGAAGCATTCTGAACCATGTGCTCTAAGAAAAATAGACAGATCGGGGAAGGAGTCTTTGCCACCCTGAAATGGCCGACTTATTACTGAATCCTACTTCCCTTCTGAAATCTGAAATCATTCTGAAATTGGAAATTATTATTGGGTGATGGACTTTGTAAATGCCAAAGATTCCTTGGAAATCGTTAAAACTAACTGCTTAATTGCCCAATTTAGTTATCCTCCTCGACTCATAGTACACCACCAAGAGTAATGGATACACATAAACAACTAGTAGTACCACTTGAAGCTAATAGAAGCAGGAGCAGACAAATCCTGCTTTGACAAATCCTAGGCAGATATGATTAGGTTCCCAGTGAAACCCGACCTTCAAGCTGAAGACAGTTTAAAGCATAGCTACAAGTTCCACGTAAATTCAGGGACTGGATTCAGAACCTCTCCTCTTGTTTGGCATACTTTCCTCTGATTGATTCCCACCCTTCATCTATTTTACATATACCTGCCCTTCCCTAATTGGTTTTTTACACTGTTGTGTCCACCTTTGAGTGGTGTCTTTGTTTTAGCTGCTTTTTCATACTCACAAACCAATCAACACACACTTCCCATTCTGAGTCCATGAAAACACCAGACCCAGCCACACTGAGAGAATGACCCCCTGACTTCATTTATGGGGCCACCCTCATATCTTCTCTCTGCTGAGAAACTGTTTTGTCATTCAATAAAACTCTTCTCCACCCTCCTCACTCTTCGATTGTCAGTATAACCTTATTCTTCTTGGATGTAGGACGAGAACTCAGGACCCACCAAACACAGGTACAAAGGCTATAACACAGTGGCCCTCCATCCTTTGCTGGAGGAGGGCAGCTGCTCCATGTGACAGGAAGGAGCATCAGGCCAAGGCAGCCCTGGAGATGCAGGCCAGAGCAGGGCCATGGGACTGGCAGAGTTGTTAACACAGCGCCATCTGTTGGGCTGCAGGCATTATCAAATGCTAAGAGCTATTAGCATGCTTTAACACCCCCTTGGGCGTGAAGGGTTGTGGGCACCCCTATTTGGGCACTACCATGTTTCCTTCAGTGCAACATGCCTGGTTCAGCTGCAAGCCCCGACGGAGCCCACTCCTGTGCCAGTGCTTAGAGTGGCCAGCCAGACCCCACACTCACACACCCCCTCCCACCAGGGGCTGAGCATGCAGTCGTGGCAGCCGTGGGATCCACGTCAGAGCACAAGTCAGGCATGGCCCAGTGGGCCAGGTAGACAGGATGTCTACTGTGGTGAACCCAGGCCAGAGCAAGGCCTGGGCAGGGGCGTTACTGGCCAGAGGTCACCAGCTGGCAAACTGGCTCAGAAAAATCCTGCATCAAAACAATGACACTGGCCATTCCTGACATGAAGATATGTAATTGGGTTAAAACATACTTATCTATACACTATAATAGATTTTACTATTGATTGGTTTTCAGTTTCCTAAAACAACCTTTGCCTTACTTATGAGGCAAACAATTTTTGTCCTGTTCGTCAATTTTTTTCTAGCATAACTTTTATGAAATTACGTTCTTTTGCCTCCAAATAAATAAGTACCCATTCATTTCAAGTTCCAACCATGTACTCAAGTTCAGTGACTGTATTTAGGTTTATGCTTGATACTGAGTTGTGTATGCCCTTTCTCATTGTCTTCTGAAAGTGGTGCTGTGGGCCGGGTGCTGTGGCTCACACCTGTAATCCTAGCACTTTGGGAGGCCAAGGTGGGTAGATCACCTGAGATCAGGAGTTCAAGACCAGCCTGGCCATCATGGTGAAACCCCATCTTTAAAAAAAAAAAAAAGTGGTGCCAGTTAGTCCCTACCCTTATTTGAAAACTGCCTTTCAATTAATTAATCTCTCTAGGTACGTCTTATCTGCTAGGTCAGCCCTTTTTTTGGATTAATCCCTGAACTCAAGAGAGTCATTCTTCACACTGAGTTCTTGCTCTCAACTCTGGGTCTCACTCACCCTTCATCACAAGCAAAGGACACCTTTGCTCCAAGCTGGAGATCAAGTGGAAACAGCACACGGCCATGAGGGAGTTGGCCCAGGAAGTCATCACAGGATTTCACTAGAAAAAAAAAAGGAAAAAAAACATGAGTAAAACCTGCATGTGAGGGGTACAGAGAGCAATCTGGAAACCAGAGAGTTGAGACACCTGCACATCTGGGGGCTTCAGGGCTCCAGTCTCCCTGAGGTGTGCAGTGCAGAGAAGCAGCCCCTCTGAGGTCATAGCTGGGCTCACAGCTGTAGAACACTTCCTGTCCAGGTGAAAAGTGGTCCTGATCACTTGGGGTATGGTCACCATGCAGGATTTCTGGAGGTGGCTGACACACTGTGGGAAGGACAGTTCCAGAGTACTTGTTCGTTATGGGGAATTTCCTTTGCTATATCCTATGCTTGCTGAAGACCTCATAGCTAGTAAGTGGTAGAGAAATAGGACCCAATTCTCCCTAGCACAAGACCTCAAATTTACTTGTAAATATACAGGGCATGAGTTTTTCCCCAGCTCTGGCTATGCATATGGAGTTATTAGTATTTGTGGATTCTTCATCTACGTATTTTGTAGGAATGCAGTCCCAGTTTTCACCCGTTATTCAGGTAATGAGACTGTCTCCTAAGCCCAAGCCTGTTTTACAGATTTTCCCCCCATTTCTCTGATTGCACACCTATGACTAAAGTACAGTCATACTGTTTCAGGACAGGCAAGCCCCCAAATTGTAGCTTACTCTGGAAGGGTTCTTGCCTAACCCAGGAAAGAATTCAAGGATAATCCAGTGGTGCTAGATAGCAATCTTTGAGCTATGAAAAGACTGGAGCTCTGAAAAACACTGCCCCTTGCAGAGCACAGCTAACTCACAGGCAGTGTGACCAGAGTCAGCAACATACAGGCTCCTAGCAGGCAACTGTATTCATACTCCTGTAAACCTATTACATGTAAATTATCATTTTTTTATTTTTTTGTGTTTTTTTTTTTTTTTTTTTTGAGATGGAGTCTCACTCTGTTGCCCAGGCTAAAGCACAGTGGTTTGATCTTGGCTCACTGCGCCCTCTGCCTCCTGGGTTCAAGTGATTTTCCTGCCTCAGCCTCCTGAGTAGCTGGAATTACAGGCATGGGCAACCATACCCAGATAATTTTTGTATTTTTAGTAGAGACGGGAGTTTTGCCACGTTGGCCAGGCTGGTCTCGAATTCCTGACCTTAGGTGATCTTCTACTTTGGGCTCCCAAAGTGCTGGGATTACAGGCATTAGCCACCTGGCCAATTACATGTAAATTAAGGGGCAGATCAATGCAAAGTGAGAGGCAGGTCATTTAGAACTATTTAGGAAAGGGGCAGTAATTTCCAGGTCATTGCCATGGCATTTGTAAACTGTCATGGTGCTGATGGGAACGTGAGGGCAGCTGGGGATTGCTTTCATCGCCATCTGCTGGTTCCTGCTAGGGATTGCTTTTGTCGCCATCTGCTGGTTCCTGCTGTTTCTTCACTTCATCCTGTCTAAGCCAGATCCTGTTTTGGTCAGCAGGATTGTGAACACAAGACAAGCCCTGCCCATCTCCTACCTCAATACATCCAACTTTGTATGTCTTTATCTGTTCGTCTTCCCAGCTCAGTGGTTGCACAAGGCTGACACGGGTTGGTAGAAGAACTGTAAGCTTCTTCTCTGTCCCTATGTATCATCCATTACACCTCCCACTCCACTGCTAAACCAGCTATTGTGACACCAGTAGACAAGATGAGCTACCAAAAACAAAAGCTCTTAAATAAGCCAGCCCTTTGTCATGAGAGGACATATTATTTGGAGAGTGTTTGACTCAACATCTGCCTTTATTTACAGTCCTGTTCATCCATGCTTAGGGCATCAGAACCCACTTAACATCAACCTAATCTGTACCTCATTCAAGATGAATTTAAAAATCGTTATTTAACTGGCTCTGAGCAAGTTACCTTCACACTTAGATTCCTGGGGATAAAATGTAGGAGGTGGATGGCTTGAGCCCAGGAGTTTGAGGCTGCAGTGAGCCATGACTGTGTCACTGTATCATTGATCAGCCTGGGCAACAGAGACGGACCTCAACCCTAATAAATAGGTTTTTAATAAAATAAAATAACAAAATAAAATGTAGGAGGCAGACCATTATAGACAAACTCTAAAGTCTTTGTCTCTATTCTGATGCCATGCTTTCTGTCATAAGGCAGTCTCTTTCGGTCACCAATGGTTGCTGATAGAAGTATGGCAAGAGCTAGAGCATTCAGCCTCTGGGGTCTGAGACCCTTGCCTTTTAAAATCTTGGGTGTCTCAGCTAGAGCATGTGACTTGGCCAATTTACCTAACCTCTGAAAGGCCAAGCTGACTTCACTCTTAAATGGATATTGCAACAGTACAATTTCAAAGTATTATAAATAATAAATGAGAAAAAATATATAAAGTGCTTCGTGCACAGCTGACCATAAAGAAAGCCCATACGATTTTTCAATATAATTGAGAGATAGTACAGCTGGTACTTTGCCCTGATAACTGATGAAGAGGTGGGTCCAAAATCTTTTTTCTTGGCTAATTAAGGTCTTGCTTTTCACAGTGAAGACACATATACATAGGTGCATGACACCCTGATTCTTAATTTCATGCTTCTTTTTCCCAAACTTGCTTTCCCACACTGCTCACCACACATCCCTCCCTCTGAACAAATACTAATCTCCTGATCCAACAGCAACTCATGTCATTTGCAGAGCCCTTCTAGGCCTCAGTCAGACTCACCCCTGGAGCAGCTTGGTAACTCTGGCTCCCATTTGTTCAGGGGCTGGCATTGCACACGGGGGGAACCTTTCATGACAAAGCCAGGCTGACACCTGAACTCCACAACTTCATTTAAGGAAAATAAACTTCTGTTGTCAGATACCATTATTCCATTTTCAACATTTGGAGGCATGCATTTGTTAGGTATAATGCACTGAGGGGCCGGGCCGCTCCAGACGCCCTCTTGATCCTCATTGCTGGTGCAGTGTATGGAGCGCTCACCCACGAGCTGAAACAGATTTCTCCCTCTGCTTCCAGGATTGCAGTGGTAGGTCACCACTGATCCATAGTGAAAAATCTCCCTGTTGGTGCTAGTGAAATATCCATTGGCGATGGCGGGGGGCGGCCGACAAGGAATTTCTGGGAAGAGAGACAGCAAGTTAACCAAAACAAGAACTTTGGGACAGAGCCTTGAGTGCTGTGGCAGGATCACGGCTCACTGCAACCTTCGCTTTCCTGGTCAAACAATCCTCCCACCTCAGTCTCCCGAGTAGCTGGATTATAGCCATGCACCACCATGTCTGATTAATTTTTGCATTTTTATTAGAGATAGGGCTTGGCCAGGCTAGTCTTGAACTCCTGGCCTCAAGCAATCTGCCTGCCTCAGCCTTTCAAAATGCTGGGATTACAGGTGAGAGCCACCACCCCTGGCCTGGTTTCTTGAAATTATAGTTTAGTGTAAATTTTGCTAACAGTTTTTTTAAAATCCAAAATTACCAGAAGTAAATATTCACGATATTATTCTCATCTAATATTTGCTAATGTATAGACATATTCTTACAGTTTTATAATATTGTGAGTTCTGCTCTTCTCAGTTAACATTACTTGACTAAATGTGTCCATATATTATTATAGTCCACTTTTTTTTTTTTTTTTTTTGAGAACAGAGTCTCACTCTGTCACCCAGGCTGTAGTGCAGTGGCGTGATCTTGGCTCACTGCAACCCCTGCCTTCCAGGTTCAAGAGATTCCCCTGCCTCAGCCTCCTGACTAGCTGGAATTATAGGCATGCTCCACCACATTGGGCTAACTTTTGTACTTTTTGTGGAGACAGGTTTCACCATGTTGGCCAGGCTAGTCTCGAACTCCTGACCTCAAGTGACCTGCCTGCCTCGGCCTCCCAATATGCTGGGACTACAGGTGTGAGCCACTGTACCTGGCCTATAGTATATGTTTATATTTCTCCTGCTAAATGAGAATTTAGCTACGTTATCTCACCATTGTTAATTTAGTTCTCTCTCTCTATAGAAGGCATTTGGCTTTATTCTATTGGTTATTAATATAATAAAGCATATAGCATAGCATTTTTTTTTTTTGAGACAGGGTCTTGCCCTGCTGCCCAGGCTGGAGTGCAGTGGCACAATCATGTCTCATTGCAGCCTTGATCTCTCTGCTTCAAGAAATCCTCCCACCTCTCAACCCCCTGAGTAGTTTTGACTATAGGCATGTGCCACCATGCCTGTTTGATCTTTGTATTTTTGTAGAGACAGGGTTTCACCATGTCGTATAGGCTGGTCTTGAATTCCTGAGCTCAATTGATCTGTCCACCTAGGCCTCCCAAAGTGCTGGGATTACAGTATGAGCCACCATACCTTGCCCAGGATAGCATCTTTATTAAATAACAAAAAGCTCTGGCAGAACGAATAAAGACAAAGCAAAAATATGTAATATTACACAAAGCACAAGTATACAATATTACATGTAATAAACACAATACTTGCAGATTCAGAAGTAATAAAAAGAACTGAATACTGATCTACAGCTATACCACCCTGAATTCCCCAGTCTTGTCTGATCTTGGAAAAATTGAATACTGTGTCCTACTCTACATTAAAACAGTGCCCAGCCAGACCGGCCTTCCACAAAGTTTGCGTTCACTTGTGCTCCCATCAGTTGTGTTCTGAATTGCTTATTTCCTCAAACCATAACCAAACCCAGGATTATATCCATTTTATATTCCTTGTTAGCTTGCAATTGCGCTTTCCTCTTTGCTCCCCAGAATCTAGGAAGCTCATCTTCCAAACAACTGACAGGGAAGATGGCATGCACCTGTTTAGACAAATGATAAAAAAGAAGAAAGGGCTGCATTGCTTGAATAGATGATGTGATACTAAGAGCCTGCAGAGAGGATATAGGGTTTCTTTCATCAAGTTTGTATTTGTTGACTTCACTAAAGAAAATGCTCTTCAAACTGGGAAGAGGAAATTGGGGGCTGTTTAAATGAGCTCAAGACTAGTTTAAAATAAATTACCCCTTAAGATAAGGGAAAGAAAAAAGCATTTCTAGATGAAGGTGGAAGGGAATGCTGTGAGCCGTTTTAAGGATATCACTGGGATATGACTGCATTCTTCAAATATCAAAAGGACACCATTTCAAGAGGGATGAGATTCATTCTTTATAATTCTAGGAAGGCCATGCTAGGATTAAATGATGGGTTGAATGGGGGAAAAGATTTCAACTCACGTTGACAAATTGGTGGCTTTGTGCTCCAGTGGGCAGTATTGCCTGAGATGATACATTCAGCAGATGACCGACCAATGAGGCGGTACCTAAAGGCAAAAAATGGAACATAATTGTGCCGTGCACACCTCATCAGCTTCCTCACAGCATGTACATGTGGCAAACCAGAAGGATCACAATGCAGAGAAGTCTACGGCCCAGCTGAAACTTCAAGTATGATCCCAGCTTTTCTCACTTCTCTTTCCTGTTCTCTCACTATTGTAAGAGACATTTCTGCTCTAACTTCTCCTGGCCCACTTTGCTTCTTAATATCTTGGCTTCATTGTCGACTGTACCTGGCACCAAAATAACACAATTATTTTGTAGACCTGTTTGACAATTTTTTTCTTAAGTTCTGTCTTTTCTCACATCATTTCTGCCATTTTTTGTTTACATTTTCCCTTAATGTGTGTGTGTGTATAATACTATGACATTTTATTTGAGGCATGGCTTTTATAAATGCAAGATTTGTTGGTTTTGATCCTGTTTAGGAGACTTTGTTTTTTGACAAGAAGATTAAACCAAATGTATCGAAATAAATTATATATTTGATTTGCTTTTTGTTTGTTTGCTTGTCTGTTTAGATGGAGCCTTGCTCTGTTGCCGAGGCTGGACTGCAATGGCACGATCTTGGCCCACTGCAACCTCCGCCTCCCCTGTTCAAGTGATTCTCCTGACTCATCCTTCTGAGTAGATGGGATTACAGCCACACGCCACCACACCCAACTAATTTTTGTATTTTTAGTAGAGATGGGTTTTCACCATGTTGGCCAGGCTGGTCTTGAATTCCTGACCTGAGATGATCCTTCCGCCTTGGCCTCCCAAAGTGTTGGGATTACAGGCATGAGCCACTGTGCCTGCCTGTTTCTCTTCTTCACCTTTTCCTACTGCATTCAGGAAAATTTGGTTAACTCTTCTCTTTGCTTTAATATTCTGCAACATTCAGTGTGTTTGCTATATATATACACACATATATGACACATGTATGAAATGAAATATATAAACACACTGAAAACATATATTCATTCATGTACAAACTTCCTGGCTGGTTTCACAGAAGTATTTGTACAACTGAATCTTGCTAAAAATATGAAAAGGAGAGTGTTTTGAAAGTTTCCCTGGTTACTTGGCAGTAAATCTCTTCTGTAGGAGGAACTTTCTCCTGATTTTTCAACTTGGTCTCTTTTACATGTATTCCTGTTTCTTGTCATAAGCTCAGTGATTTTCTGCTGTATACCATAGAGAGGTTCGCAGTTATTCAGCAATGCAAGATGAGGAGGGTACGGCCAGGAAATTTATCAATTGTATTTTTGAAATGCTCAAAAAAAAAAAAAAAAGGGAAAAGAAGAAATTGGATTTATTCTAAATTTGCCTTGTCAAATTCTAGATACTGTGGTCTGTGAGACCGAGTCTGGAGTCTGGCAAATGTGCTGGACACCACAAGCTTCCTTTCAGCATTTGTTGGGGTGGCAGAAACATAGCCTCTACTCACTACCTGGCTTAGCTGTTCCCGTGAAAAGTGAAATTGAAGCAGAGCCTCCACTGTGTGCTGAGCGAGGGTGAGCACCAACAGCTGGACTGTGTGCTATGAGCACTTAATGCTTGACATTTTCAAAGGGTTGAATTCTGTTATAGGTTGAATGATGTCTCCACCAAATATGCTGAAGTCTTGACCTCCAGTCCCTGTGGATGTGATCTTACTTGAAAATACAATCTGCAGATGCAATCAAGTTAAGAGGAGGCCATTAAAGTAGGCCCTAATTCAATATGACTGATGTCCTTATAAAAAGAGAGAACTTTGGACACACACATGCACAGAGAGGAGAACTGCGTGTGAGGACACAGACCCAGAGGGAAGACGGCCATGTGAGGACAGAGAGAGAAACTGGAGTTCTGTTGCAACACGCCAAGGAAGCTCCGGAGTTCCAGAAGCTGGAAGATGCAATGAAGGATCCTCCCCTACAGGATTCAGAGGGAGCATGTCCCTGCCAACACCTTGATTTTGGACTTCCAGCCTCCAGAACAGAACTCCAAAATCTTCTGTTGTATTAAGCCAGCCATTTCGTGTTACAGACATACCTCAAAGGTATTGCAGGTTCAGTTCCAGACCACCACAATAAAACAAATAGCACAACAAATGAGTCATATGAACTTATTGATTTCTCAGTGAGTCTAAAAGTTGTTTTTATACTATACTGTAGTCTATTAAGTGTGAAATAGCATTATGTCTTTAAAAAGTCATACTTTTTTTTTTTTTTTTTTTTTTTTTTTGAGGCAGAGTCTTTCTATGTTGCCAGGCACCAGGCTGGAGTGCAGTGGCACAATCCCAGCTCACTGCAATCTCCGCCTCCTAGGTTCAAGCAATTCACCTGCCTCAGCCTCCCGAGTAGCTGGGACTACAGGCATGTGCCACCACGCCCAGCTAATTTTTGTATTTTTTTAGTAGAGACGGGGTTTGACCATGTTGGCCATGATGGTCTCGATCTCTTGACCTTGTGATCCACCCACCTCGGCCTCCCAAAGTTCTGGGATTACAGGCATGAGCCACCACACCCGGCCAAAAAAGTCATACTTTTAAAAATGGTTTATTGATAAAAAATGCTAAAGATTATCTGACCTTCAGTAAGTCATCATCTGTTTGCTGGTGGAGAGTCTTGTCTCAAGGTTGATGCCTCCTGACTGATCATGGTGGTGGTTGCTGAAGGCTGGGGTGGCTGTAGCAATTTCTTAAGCTAAGACAATAAAATTTGCCACATTGACTCTTCCTTTCGCAAAAGATTTTCCTGTAGTGTGCAATGCTCTTTGATAACATTTTCACAATCTGCTCTGAACTGCTTTCACGACTGGTGTCAATCCTCCCAGATACTGCTGCTGCTTTATCAACTGAGTTTATGTAATATTCTAAATCGTTTGTGGTCATTTTGACAATGCCTATGTCATCTTCACCAGGAAGAGACTCCATCTCAAAAAAAACCACTTTCTCTGCTCATTCATAAGAAGCAACTCCTCATCTGTTCGAGTTGGATCATGAGATTGTAGCAATTCAGTCACATCTTCAGGCTCCACTCCTAATTGTAGTTCTCTTGCTATTTCCACCACATCTGCAGTTATTTTCTCCACTGAAGTCTTGAACCTCGCAAAGCTATCCGTGAAGATTGGAATCAACTTCTACCAAACTCCTGTTAATGTTGATATTTTAACCTCTTCCCATGAATCATGAATGTTGTTAATGGTATGTAGAATGATGAATTCTTTCCTGCAGTTTTCAACTTACTTTGTTCAGATCCATCAGAGGAATTACTGTCTGTGGGAACTATAGCCTTATAAAATGTATTTCTTAAATACTGAAACTTGGAAGTCAAAATTACTACTTCAGCCATGGACTGCAGAATAGCTGCCGCTGTCATCAGGCAGGAAAACTACACTCATCTCCTTGTCCATCTCCATCAGAGGTCTTGGCTGATGAGGTGCAATGTCAATGAGCAATAGTATTTTTAAAGGAATCTGTTTTTCTGAGCATTAGAGCTCAACTGTGGGCTTAAAATATTCAGGAAGCCACACTGCAAACATACCTCTGTCATCAGGCTTTGTTGTTCCATTTATAGAGTACAGGCAACGTACATTTAGCATAATTCGTAACGGCTCTAGGATTTTTAGAATGGTCAGTGAGCATTGACTTCAACTCAAAGTCACCAGTGGCATTAGCTCCTAAAAAGTCAGCCTATCCTTTGAAGCATTGAAGCCAGGCATTGGCTTCTCCTTTCTAGCTATGAAAGTCCAATAGATAGCTGTTTGTCTACATGGAAAATCTGCTATTTAGTGCAACACCTTCATCAATGATCTTAGTTAGATCTTCTGGACCACTCACTACAGCTTCCACATCAGCACTTGTTGCTTTACCTTGCACCTCTATGTTATGGAGATGGCTTCTTTCTTTAAACCTCAGGAGCCAACCTCTGCTAGCTTCTACCTTTTTTTTTTTTTTCCTGAGATGGGGGTCTCACTCTGTGGTCCAGCCTGGGGTGCAGTGGCACAATCTGGGTGCACTGCAACCTCTGCCTCCCGGATTCTATTCTCATATCTCAGATTCCCAAAGAGCTGGAACTACAGGCACCTGACACCACTCTTGCTAATTTTTGCATTTTTAGTAGAAACAAGGTTTCACCATATTGGTCAGACTGGTATTGAACTCCTGAACTCAGGTGATCCACCTGCCTTAGCCTCCCAAAGTGCTGGGATTACAGGCATGAGACACTGTGCCTGGCTGATTACAGCTTTTTTTCTGCAGCTTCCTGGTCTCTGTCAGTCTTCACAGAATTGAAGAGAGTTAGGGGCTTGTTCAGGATTAGGCTTTGGCTTAAGGAAATGTGTCTGGTTTGATCTTGTATCCAGACCACTAAAAGTTCTTCTGTGTCAGCAATAAGGCTGTTTCACCTTCTTATCATTCATGCGTTCCCTGGAATAGCATTTTAAATTTCCTGAAGTACTTTTGCTTTGCCTTTACAACTCACTAGCTGTTTGGCGCACGAGGCCTGGCTTTTGGCCTATCTTGGCTTTCAACATTTCTTCCTCACTAGGCTTCATCATCTCTAGCTTTTGATTTAAAGTAAGAGATGCATGACTCCTCCCTTCATGTGAACACTTAAAGGCCATTGTGGAGCTAGTAGTTGCCCTAATTTTAGTATTATTGTGTCTCAGGGATTAGGAAGTCCTGAAGAGAGGGAGAGAGAAGGGAAGTGTCTAGTTTACGAAGCAGTCAAAGCATGCACATTTATTAAATTTTCTGTCTTATATGGGTGCATTTCGTAGTGACCCCAAACAATGACAAGAGTCACATCAAAGATCCCTGATCACAGATCACTGTCACAGACATGATAATAATGAAAAAGTTGGGGATATTGTGAAAATAATCAAAATGCTACACAGAGACACGAAGTGAACACACGCTGTTGGAAAAAGGATGCCAATAGATGTGCTTGTCGCAGGGTTGGCACAAGCCTTCGATTGTAAAAAGCAAACATCTGCGAAGTGCAATAAAACGAGGAACACCTGTACTTGGTGAAGGCAGCCCCAGGAAGCAATTATGCTGTTACAAGTAAGATTTGTTCTCTCACACAGATGCTATATGGCCTTCTCTTTCTTCCAGCAATGGGCTGGGCTAGGGTTGTTTGTGTGCTTTGACTATTACACTCTTTCCTGATTTATTTTCCTTCCCATCCAGTGAATGCTATACTTTTTATATGTGCACTGCTTGTTTCCAGCAAGGATACAGATTTTCCCCCTCATCGTCTCCTATCTTTGTTTATTTCAATCAGGCGTTAACACCTGTGTTCAAGCCTCTTAAAAGCAGGTGGCAATAGCCTAGTTTCCTTCCTGAGATGTGGCTAGAAGGTGTATGGCTGTGCCAGAACTCTTGAACCAAGAGATGTTGCTGCCAACTCACCCTGTAATACAAGAATAGTTGATTCTGGATCCAACCTGGATGTTTGTGATCACATGCACCACGCCATTCATTGGATCTGAAGGAGTTTTACATGATTTACCTATGGGAAAGAAGCAGTATTTTGGAGCTAGGTAAAGTAATCTAAATTCTCCTCAGTACATTAGGTATCAACCTGCATGTACCTTTCTGAAGAAAACATGCAGTTCTGATGGTTCCACAGATTTTCCCACCTTGAGAAAACTCATCAGAGCACCTCAGGATTAGCCAACTACTAAGCCCCACTTTCAAAAAGACCTTCCCTCTAGATCTAACTAGAGCTAGGTTTACATCTGTGTAGAGACCTTGCATCCCCTATCAAAATGTAAAAGTCATTTATGGCATTATGTACTACCAATATATTTCAATGTTTTCAAAAGATTTCTTCTCACCTAGTTATTCAAACAGAATTTGTCTTCCTATGCAATTTTTTCCCCCGATTTAGAGTCATTTATTATTTACTTTCCCTAGGAATGAAGACTTTCTCTACAAATATTCCTTGAAACATTCTCATGAAGTGAGCATTTCAAGCAATAATCAAGGATAACCTACAAGAATAACTCTTACATCCACCTATCTGAACACTTATGAAAAGAGGTTTCTTATATCCCACATTTGAAAAAATTCAGTAAGAAGCTTTGGCAGACATGGGAAAGACCCTATTTAATTTTTCACATTTTTAGGAAGCCAGATAGATTGTCTTGCCGAGGTTCCACCTTTGTTGTTTGGGTTCCCTGTACTTCAAGCCATCAAAACTCCAATGAGAAGCTGAGAAGCATGGGCGGGGAATTCAAGACAGTTCCTGGTGGAAGGAGCCACTGATTTTCTAGGTCAGATTTCTAAGCCAGCCATTTCAATAAGGAGATTCACAGGCTTCTGTCTTTAATTCCTATGATTCTAATGAAGAACTTTCCCACCACTCACCACTTCCCTCCCTTTTCACCGGCCCTTTTAGCTGCAAAGGTCATCAGGATCTTATGTGCTTACCTACCTTAGAATGATTTATCATTGGTTTGGCATTCCACTGTGGCAAATGCACAAATATATACCACCCTGTAATTATGGAAATATGGAGGGCCTGGGTTAGATATTCTGAACCCATTTCGGATATGGAGAAATGGTCACTAACCCAGACTTCTACAGTGAGGAGCAGGGCTGCTCCAAACCCCATTTCCTTGGGGGTCACTTGTGCATCGGATGGTGCTCTCCCCAACGAGGTCAAAGGTCTTCCTGCTGTCTGGGTGGGGGTCGCATGTGTAGTTTACTGCTTTTCCAAAGGGAAAGACTTCCAGAGGTTTTCCTGTGTGTCTCCCATTAGGTATATCTGGAGGACTTGGACAAAAGATTTCTGGAAAAAAGGCAAAAGCTCTAAGTTTCATTCAGGAGTTTCACCAGAGGTATTCTGCAATTATAAGGTGCTATGACTGTTGTTGTTTAAATATGCTAAGGAGATGACAGTAGACATTAGGACTTTGAAGAGTTGGATTAAATGACATGTCAATGAAAGTGTATTGTAAAGTACAAAAGAGATTTGACTATTCTGAATCTTCCAGATAGTAACAGTTCCTGGACAATAGAAACTTTACAACTTTAATGAAGTATCAAAACATTTGAAGAAGAAAAATAGCCATTTTCAAGAGGAACTCATTCACTTAGTCAATATATATTAACTGAGCACTTATCCTGTGTCAGCCAGCCAATCGTCAGGATCCCGGGGAGACTGCTGTTGAAGGAACCTACGTTCTTGTGAAATATTTCTCCAATGTATGTATGTGTGCTAACCACCTTAAATACATGAAACCTTTCATTGATTGCTTGTTGATATTGCTCATCAGTCTCAGTGATAACAATAGCACTGTCACAGTGAATTGCAATATAGTTAGGCCATTACAAAAAACTCCAAATGGATTCAGATTGCTTTGCTTTTTAAAATGTCTAGGTCTGTTGATGACTTATTTTCTCTTTACTTTCTGGGTCAATTTTCCAGTTGTTACTCCTTTCTAGCATCTGCTGATTTGTTTAGAACAGTGCCTTCCTCATTACTAGTTGGTGTTTTTCATTAGAATTGGAATTTGGAAGAAGCTACTTCAACTAGCAAGGGTTGTGAAAAATAAGAGAAAGCCTGAGTAGTCGAATCAATAACTGAGCCTTCATGCATGGCAGGGGAACAAACACTTGTCATGTTGCTTCAAGGAGCACTGGATTTCTTAGACAGCAAGAATCTCTATGTAAATTATGGTCTTTTAAAATTTTACTCTAAAAAGCACTGTAAGATGTCAAAGTAGATTTCTAACAACATAAACATTTCAGTAAAATTTCATGGTGGTTTTTTTTTTTTTCTTTGAGACAGAGTCTTGCTCTGTCACCAGGCTGGAGTGCAGTGGCGCAATCTCGGCTCACTGCAACCTCCACCTCCTGGGTTCAAGTGATTCTTCTGCCTCAGCCTCCAGAGTAGCTGGAACTACAGGCGCATGCCACCACACCCGGCTAATTTTTGTATTTTTAGTAGAGACGGGGTTTCATCATGGCCAGGATGGTCTCGATCTCTTGACTTCGTGATCTGCCCACCTCGGCCTCCCAAAGTGCTGGGATTGCCGAGCCACCACGCCCAGCCAATTTCATGGTTTTTTAAAGAAACATGTTTTCCAATCTTTAGAATCAATAAATGAAGCAAAGTTCTCTCTTCTACTGGGGAAATTGTAAATGGGTAGACTAGGAGAAATCAGCAGTCTACACATTTAGACTGCTAAATGTGATTACTGAACACATGAGTCTCATTTTTTAAAAACTGAATTATTATTTATGAATCTCTCAGCATAAATTATTTAGGTGCATGTTTTGAGAATTTAAGGAGTCTCAAACTGCTCACCCTGTCTAATGTTACTTCCCACTTTTCCCTCATTCCTCATTACTCTGATCTATTATCTCTGTAGCATTTAATTAATTTATTTTTTTCTTGTCCTCCTCCCCACCTGAGTAAAAACAACACAGGGACAGGAATTTCACTCATCTTGTTTATTGCCATAACTCCAGTGGCTAGATGAACATGAGGCACAAAGTATGTGATCGATAAATAACTGATTGAATAAAGCCATGTTTAATATTTGTGTATTAGCGAATAGATACAAAAATTGTAGACTGACTGCACCTTGATGGGAGAACAAAATGAAAAAGAAGGAAGGAAAGAAGGAAGGAAAGAGAGGTAGGGAGGGAGGGGAAAGGGAGAGAAGAAGGGAAGAAAGAACTAAAGGAAAGAAAGAAGAGAAAAAATGAAGGAGAGAAAGCAAATTGTTAAAGCTTCACATTATCTAATCTCTCCTGACCTAGAAGCACACTACCATAGGATTTATCACAATAGAACACAGAATACAAAACAGCAGAGATGTATCAGATGGTTCCAAGACAGGTGATGTACACATTGATTCGCAACAAAACATTATTAAAATAAGCAATTTTCAAATCAATAATTCAGACTAGAAAATTGAAGAACCACATTAGGGGAGGCCATGGGTCAAATACTGAAGAGATAAAGGGGAGAGATTGGCCTGAAATGTTACTCCTATTACTCACGTTCACACACTGGAGCACTGCTATTCCAAAGGCTTTCCATTCCAGCCAAGACGCAATAACTAGCAGAGCTGCCTTTTAATTGAAATCTAAGGAAGAAAATAGTAGTGAATAGTGAGCCAAGGGACCAGTTAGTTCGCAATCTAAGGCCCTGCCGCAAATCTCAGGATTTTGGGGATCTGAGACCAGGAGGGGGCAGAGTTACAGAAGCTACGTTGTGCTTGAAAAATCACAACAACCAGAAGGGAGCAATATAGAATGGCAAAATACAGGAGCTTGGTCACATGATAGTCCTGCTTGAATTGAAGAAGGTGGTCACGACATAGCCGCCATCCCCTTGACCCTGGACCCAGGCTTGGAGTTTCACTGATTACTCCATGATAACCTGATATATCACTCATTGTCATTATTAGAAACCTAGTCCTTAATGCAACGCCTTCCTAACTTTGAAATAGCAAGTAAAACGGCTTCCAGTTTGGACTGGAAAAGTGGGAAATAGCTGGTGAGAGAACAGAAATTGTCCTTTCATCTCCACATCTGTGGTGGCATGAAGAAGGCTTACAATGGCAGTTTGGGCTCCTGAAGAATAAGCATGAATATTCTAGGGGTAAAAAGAAAGAAGAGATGACATGACTTTTGTATGCAATCATCAAAAATTCTCAATGTCCTGATGCCCTCCTAAATCTTACTGGGTGCTGGCATTTGGAGGCTGCCAAGATCCTGTGGAACATTTTGGGATCAGTTGCATTGTTGCCCACGCTGGTCAGCTACCATGTAGAGATGTGCACCCTGTGAAGACCACTAGATGGACATAAACGAGTTAATGACCTTGCCAGAAATATTAACAGCAGCCATCAGGACCCCATCTCAGAGACCATGACTAGCTGGATGATATATGACTGAATTTTTTAAAAATGCATGTTCAGTCCTATTATAAATTTCACCATTGATGGTTTAAACAATTTACTGGAATGATTCTTAAATGATTCTAGCTCTTTAGAATAAGTGTTTTGTTACTTGCAATTTTTTCTGAAACTCTCTAAAAATTACTCATATCCCCTTTGTCTTGGAAAATAGGATTTTTTAACTTAATATGCTACCTATATATTCATAACAATTAGTTATACTTGTCCTTGAACTTTCCAGTTAATATATGGCCCATTTTCTTCTTCATATCTCATGTTGTTAGTTCTATATGTTTCTTTCTTCCTATATTTACTTTCAAAAGTTCATGTCTTTGAGTGTGTGTGTGTGTGTGTGTGTGTGTGTGTGTGTCTTTTTTTTAAAGCTACACCAATCTCCCCTTTTTGGACTAATTCCTAGCTCAATTTCAATGTCCAGCAGGTCAGGCAAACTCATACTCACCCTTCGTCACAAACAAAGTCCACTTTTGCTCCAAGCTGGAGATTAGGTGGAAACAGCACACGGCCATTAGGAAGTTGGTCCAGGGAGTCATTGCAGGATTTCACTGGAGAAAAAGAAAAACAAACAGAAATAACTGGCTTGTGGAGAATAAAGACACAAGCTAAAAACATCAAGCCAGGTAAGAGTCTAGGCACCTTCACATCTGGGGACTGCAGGGCTCCAGTCTCCCTGGGGTGTGCAGTGCAGAGAAGCAGCCCCTCTGAGATCATAGCTGGGCTCACAGCTGTACAACACTTCCTGGCCAGGCCAAAAGTTGTCCTTGTCCCTTTGGGTATGCTCACCATGCAGGATATCTGGAGGTGGCTGACATACTGGGGGAGAGAGAAACAAAGTACTGCTAATTGTGTCAAAATAACTTTTTCTTCACACCGATAAACTGGCCAAGGGAATAATAATTATAAATCTATATGTAATAAAAAGGTACAATAAAAGCCTTGTTATATTGATAACAAACTAAAACAGAGCGAGGAAGACGTCCTGCCATCAGTCATAGAACGGACACTTGCAGAACTGTGACTAAAATGGAGGTACCCGCAAGTCATTGTTTTTCATCTAAAGTATGCACCTAAGATTTCATGATGGACAGTTCCTTCTAGAATGGAACTGTCTAGAATGCTTCCAATTACTGTTCACCTAGTACAAAATTGGGAGGAATGATGGATTTTTATATCTTCACACTTCCTTTCTAGAAGGACGTCAACAATTTAGTCTTGCATTTTAGGCAATAGAGCAGTACCCATGCACATGTCTCATCTACTAGGTCCCTTCATCCCATATCACACTGGTGCAACAAACAAGGCCCATACACTTATTCTCATCTCCTTCCATGTCTCTCTTAGCGGCCACCTGACATAGGGTGGTAGAGAACGATGGGTCTCCTCTCTTCATGCTGTGTAGCAAGGTGCTGCCTAGTCATTCATTTCACTGCAGTGAGAGTGTGGGCAACTGTTGAACAAAATCTAAAAGACCTACTGTCACCATAATGAGAGTGTATATGTCACACAACATATTATAATGACATCTCTGGTTGTCTCTTAATCTAGTTCATCTGAACTCAGGAAATCAGAACACATTTGGGTCTCAACTAAATTATATAAAACTCTTATAAAATGGAAAAAATAATTTCAGTTTGGCTTTGAGCAGATCAGTTTCCTTTTCTGGACTTCAGCTTTCTCAAGCGTCAAATAGGGATTGGATTAGAAAAATGATTTCTTTAAGGAGTTCGTAAATACTCTGATGCTGTAATGTCAGTTTTCAGGGTTCATCACCCAGTGTTTCCCTTGACTACTCAATGCCTGGTGATGTAATATTGAGGTGGTGTGTTTGTTAAATTTATGTTGGCCCCTGGCCTCACACTTCTGCACTGTCTTTTGACTGCTAGCAATGGAGGCCTTAAAACTACAATCCTTTGTCTTCCTTGATAGGTGGGCTCTGATTAGGTTCTGTCAATTGGAGGCATATATGCCAAATAAAAAGGCAGGATGGTGGCAGAATCTGTTCTACTTCTAGAGGTGGCTCAGGCAGTGAGCAGCCACAGCTTCAGTTCTAGCAACGACAATGACTTTTGCTCCAGCAATATCAGCTGCATTCTGGCAGCAGTGGTGGCTCCTGCAGCATTAGCAGCTTTCAGGAAGACACCTGCTCAGTGGCAGGAACTGACCATTTCAGCATCAGTACAGGCTCCTGTGCTTTAGACTGGAAGCCACAGTAGCTCCCTGATCTCTGGCAACTCTGCCTTGTTCCTATTGCTTTTCCTGCCCTTCTAACATCTTTCTGACCTATTAGCTGTGATATGGTTTGGTTCTGTGTTCCCTCCCAAATCTCATGTCAAATTGTAATTCCCATTGTTGGAGGAGGAGCCTGGTGGGAGGTGACTGGATCATGGAGGTGGTTTCTAATGGTTTAGCATCATCACCCTAGTGCTGTCTTGTGATAGAGTTCTATTGAGATCTGCTTGCTTAAAAGTGTACAGGACCTCCCCATTTACTCTCTCTCTCTCCTGCCAGCCATATGAAGATATGCCTGCTTCCCTTTTGCCTTCTACCATGATTGTACGTTTCCTGAGGGGTCCCCAGCCATGCCTCCTGTACAATCTGCAGAACTGTGAGTCAATTAAACCTCTTTTGTTTATAAATTACCTAGTCTCAGGTAGTTCTTTATAGCAATGTGAGAACAGACTAATACCACCTGCATGAAATCCCTCACTCCTTGAAAGTATCTAGGGTAAGTTTTGATTTCCTGACTGGATGCTGATTAGCAAAGCCAAGGCTCTGGAGTCAGGCAGACTTGCGTTCCAGTCTTCAGTCTGGAAGTTAGTATCTTAGAAAGTTATCTGATCTCTCTAAGGTACAACTTCTCTGCCAAACATAGAGGCCGGGCATGGTGGCTCATGCCTATAATCCCAGCACTTTGGGAGGCTGAGGTGGGTAGAGCACAGGTGTTTGAGACCAGTCTGGGCAACATGGTGAGACTCCATCTCTACAAAAAATATAAACAAATTTAACCAGGCTCAGTGGCATGCACCTGTAGTCCCATTTGCTTGGGAGACTCAGGCTGGAGAATTACTTGAGCCAGGGAGTTGGCAGTTGCAGTAAGCCACAATCTCACATCTGCAGTCCAACTTCAGTGATGGATCAAGAACCTCCCTCAAGCAAACAAAACAGACAAACATAGAAAAACTGGTAACTACTTAATAACTTTGTTTTAAGAATTAAAATTCACATGTAGCCTGTATTATGGTATCTGACCAGAAAACTCACTCATTTCCTATAAGCAATTATTATATTCAAAGGTAATTGATAGATCTGTTTATAAGAACCCCAAAGACACATCACATTCCTTGCCCAGGCTTAGCTTTGCTTCTTGATTTCAGCACATGTGCAAGTACACACACACACACACACACACACACACACACACACACACACACACCCCTTCTGAATTTTATGTTCACTACCTAGAAAATTTCCTCCCTGACACTGCTCACGACACATCCCTCCCCCTGAACAAATACTAATCTCCTGATCCAGCAGCAACTCATGTCATTTGCATGGCCCTTCTAGACCTCAGTAACACTCACCCCTGGAGCAGCTTGGTAACTCTGGCTCCCATTTGTTCAGGGGCTGGCATTGCACACGGGGGGATCCTTTCATGACAAAGCCAGGCTGACACCTGAACTCCGCAACTTCATTTAAGGAAAATAAGCTTCTGTTGTCAGATACCATTACTCCATTTTCAACATTTGGAGGCATGCATTTGTTAGGTATGACACACTGAGGGGCCGGGCCGCTCCAGATGCCCACTTGATCATCTTTGCTGGTGCAGTATATGGAGGGCTCACCCACGAGCTCAAACACATTTCTCTCTCCGCTCCCAGGATTGCAGCGGTAGGTCACCACTGATCCGTAGTGAAAACGCTCTCTGTTGGTGCTAATGAAATATCCATTGGCGATGGTGGGGGGTAGCCCACAGGGAATTACTGGGAAAAGAAAAAGCAGGTTAAATAACAGTCCATTTAAATAATGAATAACAAAAATCTCATGAGTCACTAAACTGTAACTATTTTTACATTTATTAGTTGCTTTTAATTTTTGCTAACATGTAGGTACATTTTTACAAAATTGTGACTTCAGTGGGCATAACGTCATGTGTCCTGCCTTTCTTACTTATATTATTTCCTATAATATTTGCATGCATTTATTAACTCAATCGATATTCTTTTTGTTTTAAATAGCCCTTTGATCATAGTATTATAGAATTTATACAGTTTTCTCCTACCCTTTTCCATTTGCTTTCTTAATTTCCATTTTTGTTATTAACTGAGGTTAGCTTTAATAGAAAAGTAAAATACAAAAACCTTTGTTAAAAGACAAATTATAAGGGAAGAGAGAAAACACAGAAATACACAGCATGAAAAAGAATTTAAGCATTTTTTATGAATATGATAATATTCATAAAATTGTAAACTACTGGGGATAAATATTTTGAAAATCTAAATGATATGAATGGAAATATAAATATTGGCAATATTCATTCAAAAAGATGTAGAAAGCTAGAATTGCCCAAGAAACATGTAAGAATGGAAAAAAGTCAAAGATAAGTTCTATCAAACTTTCAAGTAACATATACTTCCAAATAATATTTCAATGTTTCACAAAATGCAAAAGATATAAAAGTTAACAACTCATTTAATCAAATCTAAGTCTGATATCATAACAAGATATTTGTATAAAAGTGATCATATATTAGTCCACAAAAACCCCTAAATACATGTTAAATATACAGACCAAAGGCATAGAAGAATAAAACTTAGCATGTTTAAGTGAAGTCCTGCAATGAGAGGAGAGATATAACAGAGCATAAACAACATTTGAAGAAGTAGTAACTGAGAATTTTCTACGACTAATGCAAGACATCATTAAATTACAGATTCAAAAACTAGGTGGCAGATCCAAGATGGCCAAATAGGAACAGCTCTGGAGTGCGGTTCCCAATGAGAGCAATGCAGAGGGTGAGTTATCACTGCATTTTCAAATGAGTACCAGGTACATCTCAATGGGACTCTTTGCAAAGCGAGTGTAGCCCAAGAAGGGTGAGCCAAGGCAAGGTAGGGCGCTGCCTCACCCAGGAAATGCAATCTCCGGAGGAACCCACTCCCTACCCAATGGAGGCCATCGGGGGCTTTTCCATCCACTCCAGCACTCTGGTTCAGATACTGTGCTTCTCCCACAATTTTTTCCGCCCACAGACCAGGAGATTCCCGGGCTGAAAACCACCACGAGCTTCCAGCACAGCTGTTTAAGCCAGCACTGCAGGTTTCCACACAAAACTCACACAAATTTGAGTGGCCTTCTCAACTGGTGCTTGGAACACCTGGGAGACAGAGCCACACATTCAATTGAAAAAGAGGGAGTTGAAAGCAGGAAGCCAAGTGATCTGGCTCAGCGAGTCCCACTTCCACAAAAACCAGCAATCTGAAATGCTCTGGATTCAGAGTTTTGCAGCAAGCATAGCTGGACCTGGGACAGTCCAGCTCTGCTGAGGGAAGGGCATCCACAATTACTGAGGCAGTCCTCAGTTACAAAGGCAGTCCACAATTACTGAGGCAGTCCACCATTACCGAGGCAGTTCTAACTGTGCCTCTGTAAACAAAACCACAAGGAAGTTTACACAGCAGCTGGGAAGAGCCCGTGGCAGCTCAGTAATGCCTCTGCTGGCAGACTGTGATTAGGCTAACTCCTTGCTGGTCAGGGCATCTCTGAAAAAAGGCAGTAGCACATCAGGAACTTATAAATAAAGCCCCACCTTCCCAGGACAGAGCACCTGGGAAAAGAGGCAGTTATGAGTTCCACTGCAGCAGACTTAAACATACCTGCCCAGCAGCTCTGAATGGAATAACGGATCTCCCAGCACAGCACTTGAGCTCTGATAAGGGATAGACTATCTCCTCAAGTGGCTCTCCGATCCCCATAGATCTAGAGGCATCTCATAAAGGAGAGCTCTGGCTGACATCTGGCAGATACCGTTCTGGGACAAAGAAAACAGGAGAAGAAACTGGCAGCAATCTTTACTGTTCTGCAGCCCCTGTGGGTTATTCCCAGGCAAGCAGGATCTGGAGTGGACCTCCAGCAGTCCTGCAGCAGAGGGGCCTTACCATTAGAAGGAAAACTAAAAAACAGAAAGAAATAGCTATGATATCAACAAAAGGGATGTCCACTCAGAGACCTCATCTGAAAGTCACCAACTACAAAGACCACATGTAGATAAATCCATGAAGATGGGAAGAAACCAGTGCAAAAAGGATGAAAACACCAAAAACCAGAACGCCTCTCCTCCTCCAAGGGATCATGACTCCTCACCAGCAAGTGAACAAAGCTGGATGGAGATTGAGTCTGATGATTTGACAGAAGCAGGTTTCAGAAGGCGGGTAATAACAAACTTCTCTGAGCTAAAAGAACATGTTCTAACCCAATTCAAAGAAAGAACCTTGAAAAAATGTTAGATGAAATGCTAACCAGAAGAATCAGCTTAGAGAAGAATATAAACAACTTAATGGAGCTGGAAAACACAGCACAAGAACTTCGTGAAGCATACACAAGTTTCCGTAGCCAAATCGACAAAACAGAAGAAAGGATATCAGAGATTGAAGATCAACTCAATGAAATAAAAACAGAAGGCAAGATTATAGAAAAAAGAGTGACAAGAAATAAAGCCTCCAGGAAATATGGGATTATGTGAAAAGACCTAATCTACATTTCATAGGTGTACCTGAATGTGATGGGGAGAATGACTCCAAGCTTGAAAACACTGCAGGATATTATCCAGGAGAACTTCCCCAGCCTGGCAAGGCAGGCCAACATTCAAGTCCAGGAAATAGGGAGACCACCACAAAGATATTCCTTGAGAAGAGCAGCCCCAAGGCACATAATCGTCTGATTTACCAGGGTTGAAATGAAGGAAAAAACGCTAAGCACAGCCAGAGAGAAAGGTTGGGTTACCCACAAAGGGAAGCCCATGAGACTCACAGTAGATCTCTTGGCAGAGACCCTACAAACCAGAAGAGAGTGGGGGCCAATATTCAACAACCTTAAAGAAAAGAACTTTCAACCTAGAATTTCATATCCAGCCAAACTAAGCGAAGGAGAAATAAAATCCTTTACAAACAAGCAATTGCTGAGAGATTTTGTCACCACCAGGCCTGCCTTACAAGAACTTCTGAAAGAAGTACTAAACAGGGAAAGGAAAATCCAGTACCAGCCACTCCAAAAATGTGCAAAATGGTATAGACTATCAGTGCAATGAAGAAACTGCATCAACTAACAGGCAAAACAAATAGCTAACATCAAAATGGCAGGATAAAGTTCACACATAACAATATTAACCTTAAATGTAAATGGCCTAATGCCCCAATCAAAAGACACAGACTAGCAAATTGCATACACAGTCAAGACTCAATCTGTGTGCTGTATTCAAAAAACCTATTCCACATGCAAGGACACGCATAGGCTCAAAATAAAGGGATGGAGGAAGATTTATCAAACAAATAGAGAGCAAAAAAAAAGGCAGGAGTTGTAATCCCAGTCTCTGATAAAATGGACTTTAAACCAACATAGATCAAAAGAGAAAGAAGGGCATTACATAATGATAAAAGAATCAATGCAACAAGAAGAACTAACTATCCTAAATATATATGCACCCAATACAGGAGCACCCAGATACATAAAGCAAGTTCTTAATGACCTACGAAGAGACTTAGACTCCCGCACAATAATGGTGGTAGACTTTAACACTCCATTGTCAATATTAGACAGACCAACGAGACAGAAAATTAACAAGATTATCCAGGACGGGAACTCAGATCTGGACCAAGCAAACCTAATAGACATCTACAGAACTCTCCACCCCAAATCCACAGAATATACATTCTTCACAGCACCACATCACACTTACTCTAAAATTGACCACATAATTGGAAGTAAATCACTCCTCAGCAAATGCAAGAGATTGGAAATCATAACAAACAATCTCTCAGACCACAATGCAATCAAATTAGAACTCAGAATTAAGAAACCGCACAGCTTCATGGAAACTGAACAACTGGCTCCTGAATGTTGACTGGATAAACAATGAAATGAAGGCAGAAATAAAGATGTTCTTCGAAACCAACAAGAACAAAGACACAATGTACCAGAATCTCTGGGACACCTTTAAAGTAATGTCTAGAGGGAAATTTATAGCAATAAATGCCCACATGAAAAAGCAGGAAAGATCTAAAATTGACACCCTATCATCAAAATTGAAAAAGCTAGAGGAGTAAGATCAAAAAAACTCAAAAGCTTGCAGAAGACAAGAAATAACTAAGATCAGAGCAGAACTGAGGAGATAGAGACACAAAAACCATTCAAAAAATCAATAAATCCAGGAGCTGATTTTTTTAAAAGATCAATAAAATAGATAGACTGCTAGCCAGATTGATAAAAAAGAAAAGAGAAGAATCAAATAGATGCAATAAAAACTGATAAAGGGGATATCACCACTGATTCCACAGAAATACAAACTACCATCAGAGATTACTACAAATAACTCTATTCTCATAAGCCAGTACACCTGGAAGAAATGGATAAATTCCTGGACACTTGCATCCTCCCAAGCCTAAACCAGGAAGAAGTTGAAACCCTGAATAGACCAATAATAAGTGCTGAAGTTGAGGCAGCAATTAATAGCCTAACAACCAAACAAAGTCCAGGTCCAGAAGGGTTCACAGCTGGATTCTACCAGACGTACAAAGAGGAGCTGGTATCATGCCTTCTAAAACTATTTCAAACAATACAAAAAGAGGGAATCCTTCCCAAATAATTCTATGAGACCAACATCATTCTGACACCAAAACTCACTAGAGACTCAACCAAAAAAAGAAAACTTCAGACCAATATCCGTGATGAGCATAGATACAAAAATCTTCAATAAAATACTGGCAAA